GCATATTGAGTGTTTCTTTCAAGAATATAAATACAATTCTAGTTTCATTTTCTGCGTGATCTTACCGAGATGCAGGTCCTGAAGAGAAAGTATTCCAGCATATTACATCAGAGAAAAGCGATTGGCTACACACTAGTTCTTGTGCGACTTCCCTGCATGCTTCACGGCAGATACCGAAATTAACATGGCTTGGGATAATGTCTTGTCTTGGAAACTGAGAAGAAAATGGAGGAAGTGCGATGGTGTGAACTATTGGGGTTGGATTTCCAGTTTTGGAGAGGTAAGAAGAAAGGCTGAAAATAACACTGGTTGGGGAAATAGAGATGCCAACGTTCTTTGTGAAGGCACCAGATAACCAAAAGGAAATTGGGAATGGATCCGCAAACATGCTGTCTAGGTTAACAAAATTCTTACCATCCATTGAAGACTCATCATTTTCTTGAGTCCTTCATGCCGGTCAAAACAATTACATTTCAGCTTATATATTACCATCCAGGGCTTAATTCTTCTAAGTAACTAGTGATTGGTAGATTGGAACCGTAATGTTGACAGAGAAACCTTTCTGTTCGATCCATCAGCTGTTTACCCATGGCCAGTCGACAGGACATTCGCAGTCACAAGAAAGCTATTAATGTTTGTATTCCGCGGTATGTTCCAGAGCTGTTCTAAAGTGGTTCTCAACCTTTTCCTTTCTCTCGAACCTCATCCATGTACCTCTAGCCGTGACCGCGAAGCCAGTACGTTCTCAGTTATGCACTTCTAGCCGTGGACATTAGGACTTTTCCCTGGTCAGACACTTTCCTGTTGGTGTTTTTGTCCAGGCGGTCATTTCTCTTTATGCTCGGTTTTGAGTGGGCGGATATTAACCTGTTCGGGGTTTTATGCAGGCTGGCATTTCCTTACTTGTTTGGCGTTGAAATTTATGATTTTGATTGATTTTGTTTTGCTATTGTTTATTTTTCAATACTCGCGGTAAGTGGGGAGCCAGAAAAATGTTTATAAGTGGTTCAACTATTTACTTATTCATGACCCATTGGTGAGCCGAATACCATACCCAACAACAGAAAGGAACTTGTCCAAGGACCTCCTGCCAGAGAGCAAGTCCTCGCAGAGTCTTCTTGGCTCTCGAGTCTGACGGTTGCCCTTCTACGTCGGCTGATCAGGACACTGACTATGGTATACCTGTCCTCGTCGGTGTCCACGGTCTACTGCAGTCAGCTGATGGCGGTCCAAAGCGACGGATGGCTGTGTCCTATCAGGTGAGATCACCAGCAATGGCGTGCAGAGGGAGGGGGGGAGGGAGAAGGGGCGGTGGCTCCGGGCATCTAAATACTGAGGCATCCAATCAGAGATATAAGATGGTGATTTAGAATTTTATATTTAAATCGAATAAAGTGTTTATTTCATGTTTATTTGTTTACATATTCAAAATATCTTTCTCATAATATTTCACAGTACTACATGCAGTCAAGGAATTGGCCCCGGTGGCCTCTGCACCCCCACTGAGCACTAGCAAGCGGTACCCGAACGCAAAATATTTGAGCAAACTCTGTGAGTTCCGCCCGCAAGCCAATCACTTGCAGCACCCAGGAGCTCTCGCCCTTACTCACTAGAAAAAAAGCAAGTCGCGAATCCCTCGACACGCTGAAGTACCTGAAGAAGGGCTTCCTGCTTTCTGAAAGCGTCCTCCTGAAGCGAACAGGGAGCGGGAGAGGGACATAATTCATCGTCTTTGGCTTTCCTTTTCCCTACTGCAGATCGCACCTGTAATATAGGCATAAGGGAGACATTAATGTATACAATGTATGAATAAATTAGTTTTTAGGACGAACAGAGCTTAATTGTGAGTGAACTGGTATTAAAACCTGTACTATACCGTCTGTCAGAACCTGTTCTGTTGGCCTCGACAGTATCCACTATTCCCTTCCGGATTTTCAGTGCTGATATAGCGATGTTATCCGTCGCATTAATGGTCAGTGAATAAGTCTACAAGAGCAACCTGGAAGTAAAATATTTGTTGCCTGTTTTGTCTATCGAGAATACAAAATTTTAGTAACTACATTGATGACATAAAATTGTCGAAGAAAATTTCTAACACGTTAGTAATATAGGAATCCTTACCCATCGTTGCATTCTCAGTGGTTAATGATGATCTCTGGCCTCCGGAAGCGAACTGACGTAGTTCACGTGCTAGGGCAGTCAACAATCAGCTGTTTGTCGCACTTTCATTGTCATTCGTAGTAACGATCAGTGATGTTACAATTTCCCACCATTTAGGCACTATAAATAATTTCGGTATTGTTGTAGTCTGGCTCCTTATCTAAAGTGTTACTCCCTACATTTTTTCAGCATTTCAATTGTACCAGGCGGATGAACAGCAGTCTTGGTGGGTACCATTAATTATAGTAAGCAGACTTTTCCTGCGAATCTTCTATCCTCACAGTGATACGTGAGGTCCTAGTAATTGAGACGATGAGACAAGTACAAAAGGTTGGGAGCA